AGTAATTTATTTGAGTCGAACCTATAAAGTCCGTGTTTATACGGCGCAAACGCTTGTCTATCAGATTTACAATTTTTAGCGAACGGTCGTTGTAAACGACTTAATTAGAAAAACGAGCTGGCGTGAGGGGGTAACAGAAAGGAAAAGCATTTTATAATATCCGTTATAAATACCCGGCGAAATTAATAATTAAACATTAAGGAGAGCGGCGATGGAAACGAAAACTGCTCCTTGGCACGAAAGGGACGAATCGCGCAGGACCGGACTTCGAGAACTGCCATTTTTGAACTAAATTTGTAATAATAATAATGATCACCATACAAAACTTGGTAAACCAGATTTTACGCAGCCATAAGATTTCACAGATTTCGCGGCTTTCATAAATATTTCACGCATTTCAGAGTTCACGTAATGCGCAAGGATTTCACAGATTTAAATGTAATTTTTGCGAATTTCACCAATGTTAAGAAATAAGAATAAAAATAAAGAACTTTTAATTCCGTCGTAATTAGATAACTATTAACTTAAAAATAATACCTTTTTTTTTTCGAAAAATATTTTTTGTAAATATTTTTTGTAAAAAAATTAATCAATTGTTTCCTTTCTCTTCAAGTTTAATTAAGTAATTTTCTCCCTAGAAATTTTGATTAAAAAAAATTACAGTAAATGCCAAATGGAAGAGATACAACGAAACTAGTTTCTTCCACATGGGAGCTACCTTTTTTTTTACAGTTTAGTCGCAATTTGGATGGAGTAAATATAAATGTAATAATAAAAAAAAAATACTGAAACAAACGAATCAGTGACATGAAAAATGGATAAATAAATGAATATAATTTTTTATCCATGGATCATTAGTTGATGAGACGTCTCACAAATAAAGTTTGATTAAGTTTATAGTTCTTACACAAGACTTAGGTAGTCCAAAATTGTTATTTATGCACATATTGGCATTTTTTTAGTATTATTTGTTTATTGTGATTTGTCTATAGTGATTTCATTAATGGAAAGCACTCAAAACTCTTAACAAATTCTTAGAAATGTTTCATAGATAACAAAGGCTTCATACATTTCAGTGAAAAAAAAGATATATATATATATATATATATATATATATATATATATATATATATATATATATATATATATATATATATATATATATATTCGCGTATTGATTCACGGATGGAAAAATGTGATGACACTATACTCCGGGATATCATCCGTTCGCTCGTTGAACTCCGACTGGTATCCTGCATCCGACTGGAATCCTGCAAATCCTGCAAATCCTGCATCCGACTGGAATCCTGCAGACGTTTCTCCAAAATCTCACTCACAGTGACTAACCAAAACTAACCAAAATCTCACTACAGGATTCCAGTCGGATGCAGGATTTGCAGGATTCCAGTCGGATGCAGGATTCCAGTCGGAGTTCAACGAGCGAACGGATGATATCCCGGAGTATAGTGTCATCATATATATATATATATATATATATATATATATATATATATATATATATATATATATATATATATATATATATATATATATATATATATATATATATATATATATATATATATATATATATATATATATATATATATATATAATCATTGCTTATATTGATTTTGTAATTTATAAATTTATTTTGTAATTTTAGGGATTACGAAATATTCTCTAGGCAAGAAATCTCTCCTAGAAGGCTGTAGATATGATTTATTTGTATATTTTGTTTACTTAAGCAGTGAAAACAGAAAAGGCGATCAATTTTTTTTCTCCCCTTGCTTTTATTAATCACGGTCTTGGTAAACTTCGATTTGTTTATGACATCCTCGTTATTATTTATATAATTAATTTCACAGTATAACTTTATTAAATATTTGACTACTTCTTTATCATTTTATTGAAATATTTTTTCAGTTTTGGCTTATTAATATCATTGGGTATTTAAATGGATCGATTGACAAAAAAGATGATAGTATGAGGGTTACTATTGTTAATTTAATTTTATTACAAAAACTACGAAATTATTTATTATTATCTCCGAAGACATTTAATAAACAAGTGAAATGGCTTCCAAAATGACGAGATTTTCCTAAAATAAATGGCATGATATATTTCAAGACGTTTAAAATCATTGTACCTACTAATGTGATCCGTTAGTTTCGTTTTGCCACCCATATGACATCCGAAATTTCGTTCTAAATAGTACTATTTATTGTTGTGTCACCACAAATAAATTCTTTCACAAACTGCTAAACAATACGCATATAAACAAGTATTCCTCCATTGATGTCAATCTCAGCATGCGCGTCAGCTTGCTGCAACGCTCATAGATGGCGGTGTTTCCATTCTCATCTGTTGTTGCAATGTTGCAAAAAAAAATTATGTCCCCTTAAAAACGATTCTGAAACTTTTTTTTCCTGAACGTGAAGTCCAGACCTGCGCGCAGAATAAAAATGCCTCCTATTGGCGGCTCCAAAGTAAAACTCTACATATTTATTGGTGCGATTATTCATTAAATTTAAATTAATCAGTCGCGTGTAAACGTTAAAGTTACACTAGATCGCCGAGGATACACGACGTAACATCGTTAGTATCGTCTAACAAGGTGTAAAATTAATCACCATTGCTTGAACGATTTTTAAAAGAATAACTTGTCGCTCGTCTTATATATATATCGCGCCGTTTCTAAGTGCCTTGTTAATGATTTTTCTTTGTCGATACTGCGACGGCTTCCCGAATTGACTTTGAAGTCGAGTCTCTTTGAGTTAACGCCGTTGTAGTCCCTCTCGTCGCTTGGCGGCTTTGGTGGCGATTTATAAAAAAAAAAAACATAAAGCAACAACGAAACGAAACTTTTCCCACGTGTCGAGCATAGAGAGGTAAGAAGCAAAGGCAAGCAAACTATAAGGGAGACCCAACTGACAGTCTGACGTTAATATAACCTCAATTATGAGTCTTTAATTACGTTGCGGCCGGCGTAGATTTTACCAAAAATTGGCCGGTTATATTAGGGCTTAAAAAGGGATAGCGAACAAATGAAGCGACCCCCACAGAACTGCTGGTCTAATGAGGCAAAGGTACAATCAATACAGTAACCAATGTATCGAAGCGAAATGTACGTTGGGCTCAAATTAGGCTTTTCAAGCTACTTCACAGAAGCGTTTACTTAACCGTTGCGCAATCTCGGGGTCAAAATTTGCACCCAACTTTCATTTACAAGAAGGCGAGTCAAATTTAGTAGTGACCTGTTATATCGGCGAATGGAAATTTGAGTGGTGGTTAAAAGGCACAGCAGCCGGCGCAACCACCGAGTTATATTGCAGTAAGTGGGAGAGCATGTATTGTTTACATAATTTTTAGGTTAGTTATCTTTATACTTTTAACAAGCGGATACAGTTACAACTTTGAAGTTGCTTAATTATGAAAATCCGTAATCCTGCAGTTTACGTATATAGTACATGGGTCATAGATTTTCAAAATATTAACTAATTGGTTCAAGCGAGTACCAGCAGGTGGCACTATCTGTTGTTAAAAGAAGCAATTGGTTTGAGCGAGTATCCGTACATGATCGGTTGTGGCGCCATCTTTTGTTGGGAGAAGGAACTAGTTAGTTCAGACTCGCACCAGTAGATGGCCCGATAGTGGCGTCGTCTACCACCACGAGATCGAACTAGTTCTCGTACACGCCGATTTTAGCTCCGCCTGCCTTCGAACTAACTAGTTCAAGAAGACACCGCGGGATGGACCGATTGTAGTGCCTCCGTTGACCTCTAAACAAAGATGTTACAAGTATAGGGAAACTTTTAATTTAGACAGGCACCAACACCGAGAGCCCATAAATGTCTTGAGATAATAATAACAAAACAATGTAGATATTACTTAAAAACAATTTATTTCGGATACCATCACAAAAAGACATAAAAACGCAGAAACACATAAACTACTTAGTGTTCTGGAAGGAGCAAAGCCTGTTATCAAAACAAAATAATTTGAAAACTTAAAGAAACGCATGAAGAACATGTGCCATCTTGTACAACACAATTTGAAACTTCTTTTGCCGAGCAATCAATGTTTTTTTAGGTTGGAATTCAAGGCTAATTTTTCTACTCCAGATCAGATCAAAATCTGACAAGGCAGGAATTTATATTTGCCACACATAATTTCCAGTAATTTGCAAATTTCAAATAAAGAAATGACATTTTCGAAAATCATTTCTTTTCTTTGATAAACACTTCAGTGTCACATATATTTGTACACGCTCGCGCGTGCATCGACAAGATACTTGAATGCATTTGTTCCAATCGTCCAGGTACCTCAAAACAGCTCAACTAAGCGTTTCCTAATTTTTAAGCTTGGCCACCTGACCTAACGTAACTTAAAGAATAGTTTAATAGAAAACAGTTTTCAATTTTATATTATTTAGCAACCAATGCCAAAACAAAAAACAGCAACCCTAAAAACTGAAAACTTTATTAGTGGGCCAAATGTGGAACATGTTCAGAGCGAACCGCCAATTCGTCACAATCGCATATCGACACGCTAAATTTGAAATTTCTAGGCGGTTTTATAAATAGGCTGACGATATTGTTTGACCCTAGCCACGCAACCATAAAATTTTGTAAGTTAAAAGTTGAGAAACGAGACCCACGCCTGAACATCTCAATTTCAATCAAACTTTTCAGTTTACAGCAATTTTTCGAAAATCATAATCGAACTTCGTAACAATCTCGCCGCTTTTAGCCTACCAAAGCCAACTGTCTAAATGCACAGATTCCATTATACTTCTTCACGATGGCCAAATTTGCTGAGGACACTCGCCCATTACCGACATCCGCTGACGCCATGCAGTACAAACCGCAGCCCGTTGAAATTAAAAGCTTTTTTTACTGTACTGCATTGTACAGTAAAAAAAAAAACACGAAAATTCGAAACCATTTTTTGGTGGTATTACGGTGGGAACGCGATAAAATAGAAGCAACTGTAAGAATAGAAATAAGTAGAGAAAATCCAGTGTTTTAAAGCAGGTTTATTAAATATTTTTTTTTACTTTTACAAGGTTTTGGAAGTATGTAAACGTAATATGTACAAGTCCTGTTAGCGAGACCAGCCAAACGCATAAATTAATAAATAACGAATGCATCTTTCCGCAGGGCGGGAGGGGAGAGGAGTCGTCGAAAACCCCCCACTTGTCATTGTCGTGTCTCGATGGACGCGTATATTAGAGAGCAAAACTCACCTGCCCCCGCCCCCGCCGCAGTTGCTCGCGCATCATAGATTCCCCGCCCCATAAAAAAAGTGACGCGATTCGACGACTCCGCGACTGCTTTTTCCTAACGAGATCAGTCCTAACCTACATTTATACAGGGTATCGCATAGGAGTTGGTCCAACCTGCACTAGGTGATAGGCACAGTAATTTCTGATCAAAACCTATAAACGCCGTTCGTTAAAAATATATGTAAAAACCGCAAAAAAGCTTTGGATGATATTTTACTAAATACAAATACTAATGGTGTAAATCAAGGCAAAAGCGTAAAACAATAGTAATTAATGGCTCAGTGATATGTTTACACTTCTCCCTATTAGCCACGGTTTAAATCCAATAAGGCTTATATAAACTACTTCAACGTAAGCATAAAAGTTTGGGCTTTCATAATTTTGACCATTTTTAATGAAGTGAAGTGAAGTGAAGACTTGCCGTATTTCATACGGTAGAAAGAAATATTCAATCGTTTTTTCCATTATACGAATTTATCAACCACGCACAATTACGAAATAAAATGAACGGAAATTCAAAAAGGCTTAAAGCCGGGAGTGTAGATAAATGTTTTATGGGTCAAAAATATTGTTGAATTCGAATATTTTCTACATAATACTTCGGTTAAAAGTGAAGAAGACAGAGCATTGGGCCTTGTTAAAAGAACTTTGCAAGTAATCATTGCCTTAAAACTCTATTTTACATTTTTGTTTTGGAATATGTTTGTAAGGTATGGTCTCCTTACTATAGCCGTTATCTTTAACAGATCGAGAGAGTGCAAAAATAATTTTAGAACTCTTAGCAAAAGAAGGAAATATAATTGATTCCAAAAGCCCCTATAAAATTTTAAATCGATTGCCTTTGATAGAGCTCTGAGAGGCATCAACCTATTTAATGTTCGATTTCAAATAATTTTTATTCTTGTATGTTGAATTTTTCTTACCGCAACTTTCGGAACTGTGTCTCCGGATTATTTATTTTGCTTATTTTTAGTAGTAGTCCAATCGCGGGAAATGACCGGTCCTATAATAAACTTTCTTCTTAAAGTTTAATTGTTAAAGTAGTTTAACATCATTGAATGGAACTCCACTTTTAGGTCAAGTTTTTCTGTTTTCCTTTACTTTTTTTTGGTAATCTTTTGCTTTCATTAATAGAGGCGTTTAGAGTTTAAAAATATATTAATGGAGGCGTGGATTTAAGAGCAAGTGTAGAGCAAAAACTAATTATATGTGACTACAGAAGCGACCTCTACTATCACCCCGACGAGTTTGTACCACGACCTACGGGACGCCATGTACATATACGGTTGAAGAGGAAAAAACGTGTAGCCTCGGAGCCGACACGTTGAGGGGGAAAAAAATAATTCCGTTCTCACGGACGCAGGGACTAAACCAACCGAGTGCTCTACTACTACTGTTTTTGCGTCGACGGTCACACAGGGCGCGGTCATAGGTCGCTCAGGACAAAGAAAAACAATTCAAAAAAAATAAAAAATAAAAAGTATCACTTTGTAACAATAAAACGAAATACGTCGCAATCGGCGGGCATCGATTCTGAAACTAACCCTTCTTTTTCCCGCCCCTCCGTTCGCCTTTTTCCCACTCACGGCTTTTCGATTTCGAACCGAATTGCGCGAGGAGAGGAGGAAATCAGACCTATCGTTTACGAACACATAAAATACTCGCCGTGATCGGGACCGAGCGACCGATCACACCGTGCCCCGCCCCCCTCGCGGCTCGCGCGCAATAAATAATTCGGACGAAATAAATTAGTGAGGGTCGGTTCACAATAACATCTCGCGCGCGGAAGGAAAACCGAAACGGAAAACGATTAACTAATCAGTTCACTTCTTGGTGGGCGTGCCCCGTTGCGTCATACCCTCGAAGCGCTTGAACGTGTAGTTGATGAACACCCAGTCCTTGTAGGTGATGTCGCCGTCCTGGGGCATCGGCGCGGAGGCTGAAAAGAACGGGGACAATGTCGACGGGAACAGAACAAAAAATATGCCACGATGACGTAATAAAAAAATAGCCACTTTGATACCCACTCGATTAACTATCCCTAATAATTGCATTGTGTTCAGATTTCATCCTTACGTGTACTAGTCATCTTAAATTTCTTGTTATTTTCTATATAGTTATAATATATAATATATAAGTTATATCTAAATTTTCAAAATATGTAATATATTGAGCGTTCGTAATTAACGAATAAGAGATGCCGTAGATGGCAGCACAATCAACCAAAGGTCCCCTCGGCTTATTCGCTTCGTTTTCGTTTGAAGAAAATGTGTACTTTTTTGAGTATTTTGAAAAGTCATTGTATTCTTTTTATATATCATTTGTTATCGCTGCAAATATTATGGTTAAAACGAAGTGTCGTTTTTCAAAAAACTCTCCAAACCCATTGAAACCCAAATGACATTAACATATGCACATGGGTCCGATTCTGCTTCGTTTCGTAGCAACAGGTTGTTGGAGAGTGGTTATTTTTTTTATTTATCCCCAATTTATCTAACACGGGTCTTAAAAATCTTTAAAAAATAAAGATAGCCAAAACAGTACATAACCCAAAATGAATGCATTCATTTCATTAAAGAAATCTAAATCGACAAAGGCACTGAATATCCTTTCTAATTTTGCTATTAAAAATAAAAATCGCAGTGGGGGAGCAATACTCTGTCCAACAGTGCAACAACTACCACTAAAATATAAGAAGGAACAGAACAAATATGAATAAATAGAGGGGTTAGGAAGGGAGACACAATATAGGCGAAACTTTTTAATTTGGCACTGAAAGACATATTCAAAAAATGAGCTATTTACGATATGCTGATGATAATAGTACAATAACAAACAACGAGCTGATTGAAATGATCGAAGAACTAGATATGCAAGCCCAAAGAGTGAATTATAGAATAATAGAACAAGTCAAAGATTACATATATCTGGGACAACAGATCAAAATGGATAAAGGGAATCAAACAGCAGAAATCAAAAAACGATGCAGCAATTAGAAACCTCAGTTTTAACCAAAAAATATCCACAGTATATGAAGACCAGAGTTTTTAACTAATGAATAATGGCAGTAGACACACATGAGGCACAAGTACGGACCTTTAAAAAAGATAATGTAAACAAGATAAACAGAAAGACATAAGCTGAGCACAAAATTAAAGGATAACAGAAGAAAAACTAAACTAAAACCGGAGATGCCGGAAAAGTGAAGTGAATAAAGTGAAAAGTGAAATCAAGTGATCATACAATGGAGACCATGGGAAAATAAAAGTGAATGATGAGGGATAGCATGTGATTGAGAAGCAAAATTAAGGAAGGCCTCTGTACGTACAATATCAGACGTAAGATGCTGAATAGAAAGATTGTAGCGATAGCCCATACGCACGGCACTGGTCAAGTTGTCTAAACTCTTTTTGTAGTAAAATATGTACCAGTGTAAGCATTAACACTTTGAACTTTAAATTGACCACTGTACACGTGAATCCTTTTGATTGGTTGAACTGTCCAAACGGAACGGTCGATTTTGATTGGCTGGGTAAGATAGGAAAATCTAAACATAAAGTAAAACAATAATGTTTATTTTCAATCAGAGTTTTAATTTTAAGCCTTAAAATAACTTTTACCCTCCAAATTTTATCGGAATTGCTACAGTAGTTATCGAAAAATTTGGAGAACAGAACCAGAACTATAATTTGCTTCAATTTTCATTTTTGGTATATCTGTTTATGTAAAATAAATTTAATTAGTAGTTTTTTTTACTATCCATCCCCGTGGAAAAATATTACAAGGTAATTGTGGAATTCGAAAAATTATTTTGTTTATTTATTGCAAGACAAGGTTCTACAAATTATTGTTGAGATTTGTAAGATGCATTTCATACTGAAACCTATCTAGAGTCTTTCAGAGAGCAAACGGCGAACAATAAAATTCTAATTAACATTTTCCACGTGGCAGTGTAGTGGAAAAAATCACCCCTCAAAATATCACTCGTCATTTTAACCTTCGTTGTGCCGTGTGGGGTACAAATGTACCCGAACTCAATTTGTCTTATATTCTTTTTAAAAACTTTACACAATGGTTCCTCAATTTTATTTATTGTAATTGCAGAAAAATTAATAATACAGCAGAAAAAAATCAATGCGAACGAGTCGTCTTAGATCTTGTCAGAGACCTAGGAACCGGATATGGCATAACCATAGTTTTTAACTCGCAGATAAACTATTAGAGAAACAAATGATTCTGCGGAACATTACGAAAAAATAAATCCTATATTCCCGAAGAACTATTGACAAAACTTTATAAACCTGTCTTTATGTTATGCTGGCCTTAAAAAGCATTTATTTTATGGAGTGCAAAAGTGCCAGACGAAAAATCGAAAAGCAAAGACAGCGGAACAAAATTTCTTTGAGACTTAGGATAGTCGTTGATTAGGGAAAATGTCATAAGATTTAAAACGGAACCAAGAATTCCCAAAAATTTTCATGGACCGACCATAGTGTAAAACAGATAATTTGCAGATTATGTGTGGACAAACGTAAGAGTTAATATGAGTAGAGGAGTTCGTCTAACTTATTTTTAACATTTTTCAATAAATATAATATGATTTATACATATTTTATTTACATTAACTATTTAATTTCGTTGTTACAGTGTATATCTGCGAGAATTGTCTTCAAATTAGAGTGGAGTGGAGGTTAATTACCTCCAAAATGTGAAAAACAAGTAAGTACTCACGAATTTCTAATTTCACGTCTGGAAAATCGTCAAAGTTCGACGTGTCGTCTATCGACCTGACCTCTACCGGTATAGCTGCCGGCCTCTCGCGTATATGCTCCCAATCTACGCCCCGGAAAAACGGGATCAGCTTCAAATCCTCGAGACCTTTCTGGGAACCCAGTCTTCTATCTGCTTCGCAGCAAAACCTACGAATCCAAATTCGTACCGTATCGCTCGAGATTGACCAATCGGAACTCACTTAATGATCGTATCTTTGGCGTCTTCGGATATGGGCACCTCCGCCGGGAACACCAACGTTTCCCTCCAGTTCATCACTTTCCTGTAGGTGTCCTGCGGATTCTCCGAACAAAACGGCGGATATCCGATGAGCATCTCGTACATGATGACGCCTAACGACCACCAGTCGCACGCCGGTCCGTAACCAGTTTGGAGGAAGACCTCCGGTGCTATGTAGTCCGGTGTGCCGACAGTACTGTACGCCAATGCCCTCCGGTTCTTTTTCCAACTCTCCGCCCGCCTCTTGGAGTCCATCGGACTCGACGTAATGACTGGACGTGATAAAAAGAGGGAGGTAGGAATTAAAATTATTGAAGTAATGGAAACGCTGTTTCGAATATACAGGGTGCATCAAAAACAATCCTACAAAAAACACATTTATAGTGAAATTCTGCTCACTGACTTGAGTTTCGTTTTGCGATTTGTTGGATTTTTGCATTTATGCTTTTTCATTTTAATCACATTGTTATAAAAATCATTTTAAAAGTTGTTTTTGCCTTGCTTTTTTATTCTCCAAATAGGTCGTCGGTTAATAATTTCATTTTGTTTAGAGAAAATGGTTTTTAAGGAAACAGTGTACATACTTTCTTATACGATGTCTTCAAAATCTAGCAATACATCTCATTAAACTCAAAAACAATTTAAATCTGATTAATTATAAAAGGACCCGAATCAAAAGGTCTTCAGCAGCCACATCGGTACAGGGTGTTTTCAAGTACTTGATCAAACTTCAGGAACAAGTGATTATTAATTTTCAAGCCCCTTAAAATTGTTCTTCATAAATTAATAGATTAAAATAATTAATAGAAACGGCAAAGAGCCTAAAAAAACTTTTTTATAAGTTGAGTTATTCAGATTCAAATAAAAATAACATTTCCGTAGACAAACTACTCAAAGGCGATGCTACTGTCGTATTTTCCAATTTAGTTTTTAATTTTTAACACCCACACACAATGCCAGATTCGAAATATGCTCAAGAGATAAAACAGTTGTTACCTTTAGATGCTTAACAATTTAATATTGTGTTATAAATGTAATACCGGATTCAATTTTGAAAGAGAAAATTTATTATGCAATGACTCACTAAAATCAGACGGTTTCGCTTGACTGAGATCTCTGTAGAAGTCCGTCCGGTGCGACTTCTTCAGTCCCGTGCACAGCCCGAAATCGGACAGCTTGAGGTGGCCCTTCGCGTCGAGCAAAAGGTTGTCCGGTTTGATGTCCCTGTGGATGAAGCCCAGCTTGTGTATCGAGTCGATCGCGAGCGCCGTCTCGGCTATGTAAAACTGCGTACATTCTTCCGACAACGTGTCTTTCTTCATGAGAAGCGTCATCATGTCGCCCCCGGGCAAGAATTCCATTATCAGGTAAAGGTTGATGGGATCTTGGAAACTGCAACGAGTATAAACAAAGGTAGAAATGCTTGAACTACACGAGTACACTTCTTCTTCTTTAAAATTTACTTTGCAACGTTGGACAAATTCGGTAGGGGCCCTCGCCCATTGCCGACATCAGTTCTTGAATCATCTTCGAGGGACTCCTGCCCCATTCGAAAACGTTTTGCCCATTCTTTTACTACTTTTTAGGTGCTAACCCTTCTTTTGTCAAAAACTTTATGACTCAATTTGCGTTATTTGGGACATTTTTTCGGACGCGTCTTGACATAAATTTAAAAGACGACAAAGTTTTATCGTGATACTTTTTCTTAATTTGTTATCTAAATCGCTTTTATATTATTTTAAGTAGACTGCGTTTCAGAAATCAGTCACACGAATCGAAATTCCACATCTAGCACAGTAAAGAGCCCCTCGCAATTTCGTGCTGATAATTACGCACCTTGAAAGGTGAAAGTTATTAACCATTGTCGGCGGGTAAGTAATTACAATAACGTTTTAACGATAGAAGCCATTGGGTATCCTAGACGCCGCGGTAAACAATGAAACAATAAACCAATTTAGGAAAGAGCACCGCAATTTAATAAAAATTTCCTATCGATTTTAATCGAGTTTAACGAGCACTGACGGGAACGGCCGTCGGCTATTTTTGGCGAAACTAACCCGCAGGACACTCTAAAAGGGTTTGCGAACGAAAATCGTGTACCTAGGTATAACGTTTTTGCGATAATTTTTTTTTTAATAAAATGATTCCATTTGGACTTGTCTTCATACCGATTGTAAATTGGAAGCAATTTAATTGAGTCGATTGGCAGCATTTCTGTTTATTAAAATTTGTACAAAATTTCGGTTCAAAAATGAGTAAATTTTTTTAAAACTTCGTGTACTACATGCTCAATATTATACGGATAAAAGACCTAACGCGGCACCAGATCACTTCTTCATTTCATCCTAGTGCAATTGGTATACTCTGTCTCAATCTTCATCGTGCTGGCTTTTGTCGGCAATTATGGAAGTTACCCGCCGGCGGCAATAAAATTCGGTTCCGGTAGGTATTAAAGGACATAATATCAGGGACGGACTCTCAAAGGTTCGCCTTGATAAAGACGCTATATCATCATTTTCTATACGACGATTTTGACAATCACTACGCTAATTTCTTTTCTTTATTTCTCCACTCAAGTTTATTAGTAATCATTCTTATTTCGTGTGTAATACAGCGTGTGCGAATTATGCAAAATATGTGCGAGTCTAGTCAGGAGGCGCTCCCGCCCAACTGTAGAAAACACTATTCTGTTGAGACTAAGGAAGTTATAAACAATGTTTATTTGACTCTCATTGAACGGCCACATTGACGAAAATTCCAACATCAACTGTATGGAAAATTGTGAATAATCCCATTTCAGCGAGGAAAAAAAGAAGCGATGCTGACATTTTGTCGAGTGTAGATGAAAGTGATCAAGATATAATACGGCGTAAAATTTACCAGTATACGAGGAACAAAGCGTGCCTGCATTAGATATCTTAATTAGGAGGCTTGAAAAAGATGAAACCGGTGTTAAATGTGGCAGAACTACCTTATGGAAGTGCATTCAACACGTGGGTTTTAGATTGGGTTTAAAATTGTCAAAAGACAAGTTTTAATGGAATTTTTTAGAATTCGGAAATGGCGACTGGAATATCTAGATAAAATTAGGATTTACAGACAACAACAAAGGGCAATTATTTACTTGGATGAAACCTGGTTCGACATTTATGATACCCCGGAAAAAGGTTGGGTTGACTCAAGTAATAAGTGTAAAACAAACGAGCCAACAAAAAGAGGTAAAAGAATAACTGTTTTGCATGCTGGCTCTAAAGATGGTCGGATTCCAAATGTCTCTGTCTGCGAAAAATATTAGAGATTCTTCTCTGGATTACCATGAAGACACCACCGCTTATTTATTTGAAAGTTGGTTTAAAATCAAACTAGTTCCAAACATTCCTTCTAATAGCGTCATTGTAATGGAAAATGCAAGTTATCACAGTAGACAGTTGACTAAAACCCCTTCCTCATAGCGACATTTATTTTCACGAAGATTATACCAAAAAGCAATTAATTGAGGTTCTACCAAGCTTAAACCTACAAAAGGAATACGTCTGTGATAATTATTGTAATTCCATTTTAGATTTAAACATGGATACGTACATAAATAAATACATATTGTTTAGTATCTTTCCTAACAAAACCCCAAATAATTAAATTCGAAGCCAAGTGCGGACTTGTTCGGCCATATTTCAATCTTACAGCTTGCCCGGGTCTTTCCTTAATTCATATCAGTTAGTCACTTCCTTATATCCATGAACAGACTTTAGTTAAAGCTTCGTGTTTAATAAGTTCTCTACTTATTAAAGTTTCATACACATTTTTCACAACCTGTGCCACAAGTGCCACCCTTGCCTTGTCACTCATGTAAGAATGAATGTTTTGTTAATGGCTTTACCTAATAACAATAGGTAATAACATCGTTAAAGTTTTATTGGAGAGGTTCTGTCGGAAGCCGACGCGATGAAGATTGAGACAGACTATACTGTGCAGGGTTTTCTATAATTAATTGTACACAAAAGCTCGAGACACAAGTCATCTAAATAAAAATTTATTTTTAATTTAAATCCTTAAATTCTTTTCGAGGTGATTTTTTAGTAGGGAGATAAGAATTTGAATTGGTAGTTAATTATTAACGTAGATTGTAGAGAACGCTCCACGCTGTACTTTGATTAAATAAAAACAATGTTGCTTTTTATTCACACAATTTTTCCTCAAATATTGCTCTGAAGACCTGTTTTCGAAATTTGTTGTATGTGTAACTTCTAATACATTTATTTATGTTGGAAAAAGAACAATTTTGCAAAGCAGTTTTCAAACAAATGCCAAAAATATGATTCAACCTAAATTCGGGCCCATTTTTTATTATATTATAGAACATCCTGTATAAATATTAATCGTATTATGAGAATAAAGTTCTGAGTTCTTAAATCATTCTGAAGATTTGGTATTTTTCAATTCATTCCAAAAAACTGTTTTGTGCTTAAAGTATTGCCGATCTAAAAACGATCCTTTGTACCCAAGAACAATAAGAATAAGCACATAATAATTTTTCATTTACATTACATTACAAGTGTGATATGCCTTACTAGAATTTGCAGAAAATAAAGTCCCAAGACCATTCCGCTCCTAGTTGTTCCAAAAATTCAATTTTATAATAAATAAATTAGCATGGACAGTTTGGTGAAGTCAAATTATTATATATTAATTATCCACTTGAAACTTGTGTTTTAAATTCACCTACCGCACTATACATATTTTTAATGATTCACAGAAGAAACTTTGTCAATTATTTTGTCCCACGTTCCTCGGTTACCATAGCAACCATTCATATTTAGGCAACGCCCTCTAAGAAAACTAAAATTGTTCTTATTTATTAGCGATAAGACGTCCGAATATTGCACTACTCTCTTAAAGTTCTGGGGGTACTCCAAAAACGGGGCCGCAATGCTATAGCACTCACCTATAATACATTTTAACCACCCATTGGTGATCAGCCTCCACCAATATGTCACGTTCGGCGCGCACGTGCGCAACCTGTTCCTTTTCTAGCATGTCCGCTTTCCTGAGGATCTTCATGGCGTACACGTGACCCGTGTCCTTTTTTTGCACCAGTCGCACCTCCCCGAACGCCCCCCGACCGATCACTTTCAGGGGCTCGAAGTCTTCCACTCCCAACCTGTGCAGAACCGGATGTACACACATCTTTCATTTGTTTTGTTAGAGTTAGGATATATTAAACCCGTTTATTGTGAACATTCGGTTATAATGAACACTTTTTGAAATACGCTCAAAAAGTCTCATGGGACAAATGTAAATTTTTAGTGTTTATAGTGAACCCGAATATAGTGAACGTTCGGATACAGTGAACTAAATTTCGTCAAGATTAAGATACATTATCAGTTTTCAATGAATTTTTTCGAGGCTTAAAATACATAGCACATTTGTTTTGTTATTGGTTTGAACTCAGTTGTGATTTAGTTTTCGTGAAGAATGTTGATGACAGATCTTCAAATGGACAAGCAAAAACGAAAAGCATTAACTTTGAAAGAAAAATACGATGTTATATAAAAAAAAATTAAAAGTGGTATGAAAACAAAGTGATATTTGTCGTGAAATGCAACTGTCTCCATTACCTGAAAAAAAAAAAGATAGTATTCTCTCGTCCTATGGTTAAGTGAATGCAGTTGTAAAAGGCTCAGAAAATCAGCTCATAAAGGCGTCATTAAGGGACTTTTACAGTGGTTTATCCAAAAAAGAAAAGAAACTGGTGGTCCAGTTCTTCAGCAAAAAGCAAGCGAAATGGGAAGTAGGACGAGATTTTGTGTTTGAGAAGTTGAATTGAACGTTGCATCTCTGGAGGAAAAATTATTGGTGAGTCTGCATCAGATGATATGAATGTTATTAATAACTGGCTCACAACGGTTTGGTCTGATCTTTGCAAAAATTATGATAGTGACAATATTTTTAACATCGATGAGACCGGCCTTTCTTACAAACTAACCCCTGATAAGACATTGAAATTAAAAGAAGTAAGGTGTGCAGGAAGAAAATTGTCCAAGGTTCGCATAACAGTTCTGGTTACTGCAAGCGTGTCTGAGACACGGTAAATCAGTAAACCCAAGCGTGGATGACATCTGACTTATTTACCGAAGAGCTGCGAAAGTGGGATACAGAATTGAAGAAGAAGACCAGAAAAATTAGATAATTGTTTAGTATATACCAATATTTCATTAAACCAAATCAAACTCTTTTTTATGCCACCCAATACCAGTTCAAAACTGCAGCCCATTGATCAAGGCATAATCCATTCCCTGAAGTGGCACCATAGGACGGTAAACAATAGTTTTCAGTGAGGTTATTGGATGCTGTAAATTTAATTCACCGTGCTTGGCAGGAAGTTAGCAAAAACGCTATTGCAAACTGTTATAAACATGCAGGATTCTTTGAAGCAGAAGATGACTTTGAACGAAAGAAGAAAGCCCTTGAAGCAGAGATAGGAATAGGAGGATGCTAATATTTCGACTTCGAAAGAATTTACGTTATTTTGTTTGGAAACAAATGCAGAACACACTAGTACAAACCAAAATATCCGACTTGTTTATCCAAGAGTAGGTGGATACATGTATTTTTTTGTAGTTTATTTTCTTTAGATATTCTTTACTTGTTATTGTTCACTGGTTACTTGTTTTGTACAGAATGATATTTAATTTTCACTTTTTCAAACATTACATATCTACAAAAATGCTAGTATATCGTGGCATTTTTTTTTACAAAACCAACGTACTAATATTATTATATTATGTAATAACCTCCATTCGTCGGGTAAACATGAACTGTGTACAAAAGTTCATTTATTGCTTATAATAAACCTCGGATACAGCGAATCAATTTTGATGCATCTCTCGAGTTCACTATATCCGGACTTCACTGCATTGATATTTTTTGTGTCAGAATTTCATTGACCGTGTAAGTTTAAATGAAAAAAAAAACTAAAGCAAATAGTAAAGAAGAAATGTTCAAATTTAAAATATCACGTGTTTGTGGATTAGGATTAAAAAACCGTAATCCAAAATGAAAAGTTAAGTGAAATATTTTTTCCTTGTGCTAAAAAAGGGACTAGGAAGGTTTTAGTTTCTCAATTTTCTTGATGGTGGAAAAATGGTAGATGTTGGAAGGCTAATGGCACGCCACTGGATGTAATATCGTAATTAATTTCCAAATCTCGTCTATTTACCTGGAACGCTTAAGCCTGAGGAACTCGGTTTCTTTCTGGGCATGCTGCAACCTCTTCTCGTGTTTCTGCTCCTCCGAGAGGCTGTCGTCTTTGAGGGATTCTTCTAATTTTGCTAACCTAAACCCTCAAAACTTACAGACAAGCGAAACGAACATGGGCAATATTTTAAATCGTATTCTCTCATAATTTTATCCTTATCGTGAAGAAAAAAATATCTGGGTCAGCGTTTCTATTTGAATAAAAAAAAAATAAATAAATAAATTCCCGAGACATTAAACCAAATGGGAGATCAAAAAAGTTATTAGTAAATGCAAATATTTTTAATCGACTAGCTCATAAACTTTCAAAAAATGTTAAATGAAGTGGCATACTAACGCCCTATATGTCATTGTCGTATAAAATTATTGAATGAAAACTTATATTGGTTCTGCCACTTACGCACGGTTAAGGAGGTAGAACGGCGGACAATGTTGGCCGTCCAACTGAGAAATTAAATAGCAAACGACTAAGGAGAAATGTGATTGAAACTGGAAAAATCTCAATTTAGTGAATAACAATTAAAATACCTTTGCTTTCGCTCCACGTGCTGGGCTATAAGGTTACTATAGTAATTCTCCAAGGTGACCTTGGCCTTGGTCGCCTTGTCCAGGGTGTGGACACTGAAACGGATGGTGTTCTCCGTGGCGGTCATGTCCAAGACCCCTGAAACAAAACAATAAACGGATTTAGATTTTTTTTTACATTTACAATGTTGAACCAACTGCCTATACAGAACAGACTTTTTATATTCACATACGCATTGATGGGTACGGAAAAATGTAGGTATAAGTACAATAAAAATTGTACGGATATAGTCCAAAAGGCTCGCTTTTGTGACAACGATACTTTGAACTAAACCATACATTCCGCGCTGAATACAACACAACGAATTTGCTTCTCAACGAAATCATATACTTTTTTCAGGACATAAGCTAATATTTACATAAATACGTAGGTAGGTATATCTTCAATTTCTTCACGATCTGCTAAATGTGTGCGGGCTTTTGTTTGCCCGAGATTAGTAGAAGATGAGGGGCGGAGGACCCTCGAAGATTTCGGCACTGAACGCTTGCGGGCGGGCGTGGCGTGGGATTTACACTTCGTTTTTTCTTTTCAGCGGACATCCTTGAATTACGAAACCGAAGGAATGGCGGCGTGAAACAAGACGAATTCAAGAAAAAACGTGACGGACGGGTATTTACGCAAGTGACAAATTGTTTAAAACGAAAATGGTCAAAAGTAAACAATCAATATTTGGATGACGCAATATCATGTCTTTCAGAGACGAAGAATGATTTTTTAAAATGACAACTAAGCAAACGTTTTGGAAAAAACTAAGGATAAAACAAAAAGTTGGTAGGGATTAGAAAGTACCAAAAAAAAAAAACGTTGTACCTACCAATTAAACGGGAAAAATGCGCTAAAATTAGTGAACCAAGGTAAGTCTTTCCCCTACTAGCACTTTTTCTCAAATAACTTTCCAAGCCGTGAGTTGGTAGCGGTCAAACAACGATTCCCCCGTGAGTTTTATTACTATTTTCCATCGATACAAATGAAACTCCTTATTATCAACTTTTTCGGCACAATTTTGTAACGGATTTATGAGTTCATGAATTACCTAAATTCAGGTAGGATATACTCAGATATAAGTATAATTTTCAATTAAATTTATGCGTTGAAACTTCCTGAATTGTGAACTAAAAAAAATGTGCCAATATTTATTTGATATAAAAGTCTAATTTTTTCATTACAAGTCAATTATTTTTATTATTATATAATATTTGTTTATTATTACTATAATAATTATTTTATTGGAGTATGTTGGACGAAAAAGGTAAAGTCCAATCGGAGGCTTTATGGTAGCAATACAGCTAAGACACAGGAATCATTTTTGATTTCGTCACTATACGTGACGCAACTTCACAACTGCTGGAGTATATATACGGAGTTTCAGATACTTTAAAAAGCCCACCTTTGCAAATGCACTTGGCCAAACCACCAATTCGTTGAAAAGACAACCGACCAATGTCGAAGGTACCTACTGTACTACCGAATCGATCGTAGTGAATGGTGGCATCTCAATCCGCCGCATAAGCCGGATAGAGACGATTACTCAATCGATACGCGTAACGGATCGGATAATGAGAGCAAAGGGAGGTGCCTAGAGCGAGACCCGTGTACAATACAAGGATGGTCGTTAGCTTTTCCGATAAGTTTCATTTAAAAGCACAGACAAATGAATATTGACGACGTATAGTGTGTTTCAAAGTATATCGTCATGCCTTCGTTATGTCGCGTTGAAACCACTCGTTACTACATGCCAAACAATACAGAAAAGAATTAAAGAAGTGAGTTATTGAATGAAAGAAAAAACACAGTGATTTTCAATCTCACCGTCACCAATTATAACAAAGGTAAAGATCTGAAAGCGGATGTATAATTTACCTACTGAGATCAGTATGCACCATACAGTATCAAAAGTGAAAATTGCCAAACACCTACAAATAAAAGAAAAAGGCATCGCCATAATTCGTTGGGGATCAAAAGAGGAATTTGCTTTTTTGCAAGATATCACAGCCGCTGCTGCAAAAATTACCAAATTCCTAAAGTACAAAAACTAAAATGTTTTGGTGTTAAATTCGAATTCCATTAAAAAAAAAACTATTCCCATGTGACAGTATAACTGACGGGGCGGAATGACCCCCATAAACTCAAGTGTTGCTTGCATACTGGGACTGAAACAGAATACCGACTGGTCCGGCAAAAACCAAAACGATATACTTTGGGACGTACCATACAGATCTGATTTTTCAATATAGAGTACGATGGGCCCTCCAAAATAGTGTCAGTTTCATACCTGACATCCGAAATAAAAGATTTTTACCGGGAAGGATTTCGAAACAATAAAATGAAACTTTCTTGGTTATAAAATGCAACTTCCTTGGTTGAGAAGGCGGGGAAGCTCGCTATTGTAGTTTTCTCTCCGTTCGACATTCCCGAAGCCGAAAATGCATAGCAAGAACGTTTGCAAAAGTGAAAGTCGCTCGGAACAACCGTCTGTTATTATATTGTTGCCGCTGTTGTGCCTGAACCTTGACTTAGGGACATTTGGTTTCTAGAACGTCGGTTTGGTTGCGACAACCAAGCGCAATTTATCATTTTGGTTTTCGCTCGGCGGCAGCAAGGTCAACAAAGATTTCGTCGTCAATAATAAACAACGCGTTTATATATTTACGATCCGGCTTATAATAAATTTCGCCAAAAAATGTGTTTACCACTTACTACGATGATAAAAGGTCACATCGATTAAGTCGATAAACAATTTTTATTACGTTATTTTTTTTTTGTTGGGGATGTCGAAAGATAGGTATAGGGAAACTTAAATAAAAATAATTAGAAGTTCTCTTATGATTTGTTTATCAATAATAATTTTCAAATTTTGATTGGTTGATTAGTTGTCATATTTACACAAAATTGAAACGATCAAACCAAACTAACCAAAACGAATCATAAAAAAATTAATAAAGAGATTTATTCTTAGTTTTATTTGTACAGTGCTTAGAAATGGAACTTTTTTATTGCCTAAACAACCAAAATTACAAATAACAATTCTAAAACGTCTAGAAATGTTGATGTTAAAGAAAAATAGAAGGATCCGCTCCATAGCCATAAATCTCTCTAATTAAATATTGGCAAAGCTAAAATATTTACTTTTATTTGTTTGGAATTAATGGTTTAAAATTTTGATTAATCACTAACAATGAGAAGGAGAATATATGTATGAACTATTATTAATATAATCAGACAGGGTGTTTCAAAACAAATGCAAAAAAATTAAGGCGAGTGATTCCTTGTTTAAAGGAAAGGGTCGATTTGTATATAAGGTAGTTAGCTATATAAATATTGGGTCAAGTTAGACAGACGAAAAAAAGAACGTTTACATTTTTTATATTAAAAACGGAAATAAAATATTAAGGAAGTATTATCATCATAAAAACACTGCTTCTGTATATTTTTTCCTTAAAATGAGTGGAAGGGATTGAATTGGACTACCCCTACCATTATTTTTAACAAAACTTAAGGGAAAACTGGCAATGATATAAAATATATATTGTTTAAAATTGTATGTTTTATTTAGAAGCATTTTTGTCTCCCGAAATTTGTTTCCATGATTTGATGCATAGCACCAGATCAGATTAGTTTCGGAAATGTTTATTAGTAATTTTTTTTAAAACGCAATTGTTTAGAAGATAATTGATGAACGCTGGTACAAAATGGAACTGACTAAATTGTTTTTCTAAAATATATTTTATTTTGCGACATTACATTTTATTGTTATTTTTGTAAACTGTAAACTTTATGTAAAAATTGCAGGAGACAAAAGATTCTAAATAAAACAAAATAAGAGAATACATTTTTCATTGCATAAGTTTTTCTTTAAATTTAGGTAGTAGTCTAATTCAAAAATATTTTTTTTTGCAGAAAGTGTGCTTTTTCATAATAGTAAATACTATTTTCAGTTTATAACATAAAAAATATAAACCTTATTCTTCAACATAATAACAAAAATAATAATAATAATAATCATAGTCTTTGAAATTTGAAATATTTTCAATTATTGCACACATCTCAAACGGCGAAGTCAAGCTTGATCTTACAATAATAATGAAACAACAAGATATAATAATAATAAGAGTCTAGGAATGCATTATTGGCAAAACATTAATTTGTTTAGGACAGAATAAATGCACCTTAAATGTTTTCCTAAATATTTACTATAATTATTATGAAGCAAAATGAGCCAATTAGAGCTAAAGCAGTGTTCAAATTTACAAGAATTATGGTCGGGTATATCCAAAATTTTTTCCGTCCTTCATACCGAAACATTAAATAATCTTTCAGGTACGTTGGTACAGAATATTTCTGTTCAAGATTTTTCGCAATCTGAATTTATCAGCAACGGATAATATAATAGAAGATAGTACATAACTTTAGAATGGATGCATGCTTCAGAGAGTTCTTTTCTTACTTAAAAATGCAATAAATGTGTTTGTTTGCATATAGCCTTTTGGGAGATATGCAAGTTTTCTTACATAAATTATGAATGTGGCCACCCATTATCACTCCTAAGTCTTTTGCTTCATTTGTAAATAAATCTTCATTTTCAAATTGAATTTTAATATGAGAGCTTAGAATTTAGGTTAAGGATGTGTTTTTTACTACTTACTGTTAAACGAGGAATCGCATTTCATTGATTAATGACTAGAAAAAGCGACCCGCCCTTCATCACATCAGGATTAGCGAGTCAAACACTTATTAAAAAAAAATAATTCTTGGGCGTAAAAATCGAAATTCAAAAAATACGGATCTATCTTATGTTCTCAGCTGATGATTACCCGTACCGATAAGCGATTCCTAATCAACGTCGATGTAGACGAAAATAAATGACGCGTTTCGAATTTTTTCCCACGAACGATACCAAACCAAGTAATAAACAATGATCCGAACTTTTTTAATAACCGTCTATGAACCTGTAAACGTTACTCATTTTCCGCATGCACGCGGATCGATTCCTTTGTTTACTTATCTTGGCCTTTATTATTTATTCAATTCATTTCATTATTGGGAAAGCTGAAAACCGTTAGAAACGCAGAAGCATCCTG